TCCAAAATTCTTTCAGGACATTTCCCTTATGGTTCTGGTGGTGTATTTTAAAATATACCTGTATTTACACAGCATTTTAAAGATATGTTTTAATAGCATGTTTACTATTTACTTGTAGGTTCTTTCCTACTTGTATTTTATATGGTAAAACTAATTAGAAATTGTAAAAAATAGTTTTCTGTGATCAATTACTGGTCTGCAACAAAAATAGGTTGTGTCTTTGCGGTAATATAGTAATGTGGGAACAACCACTGGAAGGCTTAAAATAGATGTATGATACGAGTATCAGTGATTTCAAGTTTAGCAGTGCTCTGAAAGTATCCATAGGGCAAGCCATAATTTGTGGCACTACAATATTTTATGATTTTTTAAAAATGCAGGTCTACATCTGTAGCAAACTTTTAATGTAGCCAAAGCAGCAATGTTAGTGCACAAGAGGGAGAAACCAGGATTCTGGGGGAAACAACATTTGTGGAAGTATAAAAAATAATATATGCAGATAAAAAAGGAAGTGCTGATGAAAGTGAAAAGGTTCAACTAAAAGCCTAGGTTCCTATATTTAAAAAGGAATGTCCAAATTAATGTCATGCTGTAGAGCACATGAAAACAATGTTTTAAGTCTGAAGTCCGGGGGGGGGGGGGGGGGTGCAGCTAGCTCGGATGGACTCTGAATGCTGAATTCTTACTCCTCCCGACCATTGGAAAAAATATGATTAAAATATACTCAAAGCAAGGTCAAGAAATATTGAAAAACACATGAAATGTGAGTTAATTCCTTTGTCTCTCTCCTGGGAAGATTGGAAACACAGAGATGGTCTATGGGGCCTGCAAAGAGTGTGTTTTATAATCTGAAACTACTGGGATTTGTCCAGAGTAAGCTTGCATCTCAGCAGTTTACCTTAAAGTCTAAAAGTAGCTTGAAGAGCAGAAGGGAAAAGGAGAGGGGGTCAGTTTTTGAGCAGTTGATAAGAACTGGAATATAGAAAAGAACTTCTCTAATCTGTAAGAGATAATTAACGGATGAGACTTTCCCTCACCTCCTGCACACTTGGAAAGCTGAGAAGGTGCCAAGAGGGCAAATATTGGGATAAAGTCTCAAGAAATGTTGTTGTTGTTGTTGTTAGTCGCGAAGTCGTGTGTGACCCATCGTGACCCCATGGACAACATTCCTCCAGGCCTTCCTGTCCTCCACCATCCCCTGGAGTGCACTCAAGCTCACACCAACTGCTTCAGTGACTCCATCTAGCCACCTCATCCTCTGCCGTCCCCTTCTTTTGCCATCTATTGTTCCCAGCATTAGACCCTTCTCCAGGGAGTCCTTCCTTCTCATTAGATGGCCAAAGTATTTGAGTTTCATCTTCAGTATCTGGCCTTCCAAAGAGCAGTCAGGGTTGATCTCCTCTAGGACCGACTGGTTTGTATATTAAAGTTAATTAATGTCCCAGGATCAGTTTCTTTGTGTTATTTTGCTGTTATGGAGATAAGACAATGAAAACAGGACAGGCAAGAAGAGGAAGTGACATATTGAGAACATACAATAGCAATCCTTGAGCTCCCTCTGCTGGGTAGATGTTAAATTGTAGCTGTTGATAATAACTGACAATAACTGAGCAATTATAATAAAATCAAGAGATCTACATGCTGATTGAAAGCTAAATTGCAATTGTGGTCTGTAAATAAGTTATTAGTAAATTCAAGAGTTCTCTCCTCCTAGTTGGATGCTAAATAACATCTGTGGATTGTTTAAAAAAACCCTATTATTACAAATTTAAGACTTTCTCTGGTAGCTGGATGTCAAAATGTAGCAAGAGTGCAGAAAGCATCTGGCAAAGACCTAAAGCAAAGCAAGGCCTTTCTCATAAACTTCACCAATCGGATTTGCGTCTGAAAAGAGCAGAGAAAAGTTGTGAAATGAATGGGAAAAAGGGATCATCACCAGAAAAATCAATGATTTCACCAGCATCTCAATCATCAACACAACCAGATAAGCCTGATATACTTTTACAGGAATTCAGAGAAATGAAGACAGATATGAAAGAGGATATGAAGAAATTAAATGTCAAAATAGATAATATGGGTGGAAGAATAAAAGATTTAACTAAACAAACTCAAGAGAATAAACAAATAACCACAGAAGTTAAAATTCAAATGGAAGAACAATATAAAAAGTTAAAAAATCAGATTACCAAGATAGATCAGGTCTCTAAAAGCGTGATTATGATCCGGGACAGACAACAAAGATCAAATTTATGCCTTAAAGGATATCCAGAGGATGGGAATGAGAATAAAGATAAACTGATAAAATCAATATTAGATTGGGCTAAATCTAGCCTTTCAGATGTCTCTTTTACAAGATATGATATTGATGAAATACATAGAATTGGCCCAAGAAGAGCTGGAAGAAAAACACTGAGAGATATTGTAGTTCAATTTTGGTCATATGCAAAAAAAGAACAATTGAGACGGAAATTACAGAATATGACATCAATCAAGTTTGATGGTTACCAGATTCAAGTGTTTCCTGATTTATGTACTGAGACTTTGCAAAGGAGGAGAGATGTGTTCCAAGTTTGTCAAATATTAAAGAATTTCATTAAATATAGCTGGGGGTTTCCGATTTTTTTTTGGACGTTTTCACATAATGGAAAATATTGCAGAGTTGATACAAAGGAAGCGCTGAAGTTATTAAAGGAGCTTGGAATGATCAATGATGATGAATATGCGGCACAAATGCAGAAATTAATTGATATGCCTATATTTTCAAGAAGGATGACAGAAAAGAAGAAAGAAAATCGGCCAGAGGAGAAGTTGGATATTTCAGCAGGAGGTTCAGATCCTCTGTAGAAACAGAAAAGAGAGGTGAGACAGAAGAAGGAAGCAAGAAGAGACAAGAAAATCTACATGTAATAATAGATATAGAAAATATATTGTAGTCAATAGTGTTGTGGTTGTTATTGAATGTTTCTTAATAAGTATTGATAAGTGAGAATTATAATAGAAATTTGAGTATAGAATAAAAAGGGTATAGATGGTCGGAGAGGGTGGAATGGGTGCCTGGGGTCCCTACAGGGGTGGCTCCTCTGCCCCCCTCACCCCCCCCCCCGAAGTGGCAGGAAGGAGAAAATTTCCAGAGGATGGAGGCGGGGGGGGGTTCATATATATGAATGTGGTGAGGAATATGGTGGGGGAAAGGGTTTAGTAGGGGATAAATATAATTGTATTTTTGTTAAGTTTTTGTTGGAGTGTTTATTTAGTCACATAGTGAGACCAAGAAGAATACTTGATATATTGAAAAAATGGGAAAAACATAGAAGATAGTGTCTTGGAATGTAAACGGCTTGGGAGAAAAACATAAATGAGCTAGAATTAAAAAATCTATTCCTAATGCTAAAGCAGATATAATATTTTTTATAAGAAACACATCAAAAGAAAGATGGAGTGAATGAATTAAAATTATATTGGGCAAATGTATATGAAAAAGCATATGGCACATCAAGTGCAAGAGGGGTAGCAATATTTGTAGCTAAAAATGTGAATTTAAAATAAAAGTTATAAAAAGAGATCATATGGGGAGGTTTCTTATAATACAAGGTTTATTTTATGGACAAGAGGTGACTTCGCTAAACCGTTTCGGCCTGCTGCTTCTGGGTAAGTGTATCCACTGCTTCTTGGGCAGGACCCATGAGACAAGACATCAGGATGTGGGCCCACTGGTCTTTGGGCTACTTGGCAGCCAGGGCAACCCTTTCAAATGTATTTAGAAAGGCTTCAGGGTCATCTTCTGTGGTCATCTTAGAGATCAGGATATGACCTGAGCCTTTTCCTCCTGTCTGCACGACTAGGGTTTCAGCTTGAGGACCTTGTAGTCCTCCCAGCATTTGCTGGAGCAAGGAACTTTGGTTCTGGAGCTGGGCATTGAAGACTTGCTCCATGAGTCGCGTCTGTTCTGCCGCTAATTGCTGCAACAGGCGCTGCTGCTCCTGGCCTGGAGC